TAGGCCATACAAATTTAATAAATCGGTTTTCATAACCCGGCCGGGTCAAAATTTACAAAACCTTAGAAAAAAATTTTCAGTATATTTACTATCCGGACGAGTTTTTTTAAAAATTATATAAAAAATTTTATATGTTTTTTATATATATAATTTTTTGAAAATAAAATAAAAAGCCGGGTTGCCGGTCACTTTTAAAATTTTATGTTATGAAAACCGAATTATTAAGTTTGTATGGCCTTATATGTAATTATTTTTAACTTGGGCCCGTATTTGTAATTATTTTCACTTTTCGGGCCCTAATTTGTAAATTTCCCTATCTTTTATCAATATCGATTATGAGTGCATTTTGTTTTGGTGAAATCTCAAATTCCGATCAAAAACTGTCAATTGTCAATTGGTGTCGAAAAGGTTCGGTTACATCATTAGACACCCAAATATAGCGTTCACCCATTTCTACAAAAGTGATACAAGAAAATTTTTAATAAATTAATCAGAGCACAAAATTATCAACAAAGAAAGCAGGTTACATCACCCAAAATCGATTTAAAGATTTTTTCAATGATCAAATTTTGCATCCTCTATTTTGTTGTTTCCTTTTTTAGAAGTTCGTATTACTCGAGTAAGGTCGAATACTGTATAATCGTATTAAAAACCTATAATATGTTTCTTAGTCAATGTGTTAGCTAGCAGAAGACCTTTATCTACAGATTTTAAGTAAGTTAGGATGTGCTCTTTTCTTTCGTAAATCTACTAAAATTTTTTTAGATAGCATGGATAATAGAATAAATACCATTACTGCTTATAATTCAATAATTAAAAATCACAGCAATTAATTGCATAAAATTAACAGTAAAATAACTAATCATATTCCTCATATAACTTGTAGCATTTTTTTATTGAACATATATCTATACATTTAAAAAATATCAAAGAGCCTTTTAATATGAGTCATTTACAGCTTGCACCTCTAATGCAAGTATAGTTTAACAACTTCGGTCAATTTCATGCTCAGAATTGTTTATTAAGGATTTTTATTAGGACAATACATAATCAAAAATTGTAAATTAAATGTATATCAAAGGTACATATAAAAGGAATAACTTTACAAAGAACCATCAAGAAATTTCCAAGTATTAATAATTTACACCTTTAACAGGATAATTTATTTGTCATATAATGACATTTCTACCCTGTACAACCTCTATACAAAGAAAGCAACAATTTTATATCAATTTCTGATCATTGAAAGGTTTCGATTGATCGATCATAGTTTACTTGTGTATCTAAACACAATTTATTTGGTGCGACTAATGTTAATAAGTGACAAAAACATAATCGATTATCCTGAATAATGTGAACTAGCAATTGGTTTAGTCATTACAAAATTGTATTTTAGATTAACATTTTTGTTTTTTTTTTATACAGGTCCTCTCATCCGAATTCATTTATATATAATCTACTCATTTGAATTCCTCTATATATCGTCCTCAAAACTCTATTTTATTATTTCTTTCGAAATATACATTCATTAATCATTTTCCGAAAACCAAATCTCGGAAATCACTCCATTCACTTATTTATAAGATGTGTAAAATTAATTTTTTAATTTTAATCCTAGCAATATTATATTTCATAAATATCTCGAGTACCCAAGATGTCTCAACGGATGGTTCATGCGGTTCTGATACGAATACCGTATGGTACGATATTGTTTACTGAGTTGAATAATATTTTATTTTTTTTATTTCAACTATTCTATTTTTTTTTTCCCAGCCCCGACGGCTATTGCTGTTCTCAGTATGGTTACTGCGGTAATACACCTGGTTTGTTTCTTAATTATTTTTACCTAAAATTTCAATACACGGTGTTACTTTTCTTCAAGTTTTAACCTTTAATTTATTTTTCTCCTATAGATTTTTGTGATATAGATCAAGGATGCCAACAAGATTATGGTACCTGTGGCCAAAGTTCGAGTACCCAAAACGTCTCAACGGACGGTTCATGTGGTCCTGATACGAATACTGTATGGTAAATATTATCATGCTGACTTGAATAATAAATTTATTTTTTATTTCAACTATTATACATATATATATTTTCCCAGCCCCAACGGCTATTGTTGTTCTCAATATGGTTATTGTGGTAATACACCCGGTATGTTTCTTATTTTTTTGAAATTTCTATTTTTTTTTTTTCCAGTTCAAATGCTAAATTTTTAAATAACATCTTTTCATAATAGATTTTTGTGATCCGAATCAAGGATGTCAAGAAGGATATGGCACCTGCGGTCTTTCAGATAACAATAGCACTAGTGATGACGGCATAACAGTCATCTACACTTGTCAATATCCTAATACTATAGCGTTGACTTTTGATGATGGTCCACGCCCTGTATGTTATTTTATAAATTTAAAATATCTAAAGCTTTAAAGTTCATTTATTTACTTAAATTTCTTTTAGTGGACGAATGACTTACTCGATACACTAGATGATTCTGGTATAAAAGCTACCTTCTTTATCAATGGCCACAACGCATATGATTATTGTATCTACGACTATGCCGAAATTATACAACGTGCTTACTCTTCAGGTCACCTAATCGCCCATCACACATGGTCCCACCCATATTTGACCGGAGTCGATTCTGATGAAATAACCTACCAATTGGATTTCTTAAACACTGCTTTTAAGAAAATTCTTGGTGTTACTCCAAGATATTTCCGGCTTCCGTATGGTGATGGTGTCGATAGTTCGGCCATAAGATCTGCTCTAATAGCCAACGGAATGGATAAAATCGTAATGTGGGATGTTGATCCACAGGATTCTATAGAGGGTGTCACCGAATCACAGAGTGAAGAAACTTTTGATCAAGAGACTAGTGATCTAAATCCCCATATCGTGATAAGTCACGATAGGATTGAAACTACAGTTAATCAATTGGTCCCTCATGAGATTTCTCAGTCAACTAACAATGGGTATCAATTTGATACGGTGGCTGGGTGTGTCGGAGATGGGGACTCAAGCAATTGGTATAATGTTGATACTGGATCATTTGGTACAAGGGACGAAACTTGGACATGTACTTCAGATGATATGCATAATTCGTTTGATACATCACCTAGTAAATAAGTACATAATAGATTTCAGGATTTAAGAGAGTTGTAGCTATAAATATTAAACCGTTTAAAATTTTACTATCTAAACCGAACTAGCACTAATATCTTATTATATATAATTTTTAAACCAGCCTGGATAATTAATGTTTCTAGTTGCGGCCTCTTTATAGATAACCTGAAAATTATACATCAAAAGAATAAAATAATTGATAAAATTATTTCAAGCTACTTATATACTTTCTTGATACATAATTTAATATTTAACAAATTTGACATTATTGATTATTATGATTAGCCGGCTGATAAAACTATAAGTCAGCTAAGCGGCTGGCCAAACACTAGATTCTTGAATAAATTTGTCAACAGATAATTTTTTGGTGAAACTTAGACATGACTTGACGATAGTCAAAATACACAATCCCAACTAGGGATGTGTTCGGTCGGTTACGATCAATTACGGTCAGTTATTATCGGTTATTGACTTATAGCTGGTTAATTGTGATCAGTTATATAGAGTCTTTGCCTTGAAAATTACTCTCCGACATTTCTAATCGGGTTAATTCGGACAAAAACAAATCCGTATATTTGCATCTCTTTTTTGCTTTATTGATTCGAAACTTTATTCTATAAATCATTGAACCATGAAGACAAAAGGGGTTTACATATAAACGTGAACTAATACACGGCTTTGTTTTTATCCGAATTAGCCCGATCGGAAATGTCTGAAGGTTATTTTCAAGGCAAAGACCCCATATAAGGCCAAATAACCGGTCATAACTAATCAATTATTTGGATTTTTTGCTAAGTAAATCCTTCTTCTACTTCTAATAAAAGTTTTAGAGGAATAAATTCCGGTTATAATTATGGTTAAACCTCTAAAACTGACTCGTGTGAGCATTTAATTCTCACGACTATATGTTTACTTTTTTGTTTACTTAAATAAGATCGTGAAAATTAAAATATTCATATCTCATGATATACTGGATTGATTTTAGCGTTTTGATCATTAACCATAGTTACTGTAACAAAATTGTCACGGGTGATCTATGAATTTTGGCCGCATTACATAATTTTTGGCCAGAATTAACTTTTTAATATTTCTTCCAAAAATAATTTTTTTTTAAAAAATAATATCAGACTAATTTTCACTTAATGATTGGCTGTAATTTCATTAGTGAAATTTGGTAATTCCGGTCTAAATTTTTGATCATTGCTCCAATCAAAATCGAGAATCTGTCGTGAAAATTTGTAGCAGCAGCTACAACTTTAAATAGAAGTAGTGAGAGGTTTACTCGGTAAAAATTATTTTATCTTTAAGAAAGCTCTAAATTCTAAAAAAGCTAATTACATATAATTAGTAATAGGTTTTATAAAAATTATAAATTATTAAATATAAGGTGGCTGCACAACGTAGTTGCGCTAAACCAGGAACGGGAAAAATTATAAAATACAGTATTTCGGATAAATATCTTCCGAAATCACAGATCATTCGGCAAATTTTATCAGGTGTCTCAGAATTTATGATAACATGAAACAAAACCATGTTTCCTTTTTAAAAAAATCCAGCATCTGTTATGATATAACCGGTCAGTTAAACCGTTATAACCGGCTAGCAATGGTTATGGCTATAACCGGCTGCAAACGGCTATAATCATAACCGTACTGTACCTAACTCTAATCCCAACACAAGTATTCAATTCTTGATAAATTTAGTTTCAATAAGGTTTATTAAAGTATGTCACGACTAAAGAAATAATAAAAGCAGAACGTAGAACATTTTTATTAGAATTTCAGTTATTCATATCGATATAGAATGCTTACTTTTTTTTGTTATATACTATATTCCAATTCTCAAAAATTATCGTAAAATTAACACATCACGAAGTTGTTTTTTTATAAAATCTACATAGATCTATCAAGTTATATAAATGTTATATAAAATTTTTATTTA